CACTGATAAAATTTCTTCTTATCTATTATTTGTCCTTTCATTGGTTTTGTAAGATCTGCAAATATGTTTTGAATAAATACGATAAAATTTTTAGATTATATGCTATACAAAACAGGCAAAAAACGTACCTATTGTTATCTGTTGTTTAAACATACATCAACATCAATGACAAAAATGAACAACAATAAACGCACAAAAAAAGTCTATGCATGAAAATTAATCTAGCACCAGAAAAAAAAGAAGAAGAAACGAAACGAAAATCAAAGAAGAAGAAAAAGAAGGAAAAAAAACAAAAGAAACATGACACAAAAGAACAACACAAAAAGAAAAAGAAAAAGATGTGAGATCGACACAAAATTCAAAGTGAGAAAAGAAAAAGGCCGTGACTCATTTTCTGATCTAGTCTTATAGGTAGTTCCTCTTCATAGAAAACAAACAAACAAACAAACGCATAAATGCAATAAATAAAAATGGAAGGAAAATGAATATAATATTATCCATAATCTATCAAACAAAAGAAAAAAATCTTCTTAATTATGTACAGATGAAGAGGAAGACTCGGATGATAAGTCATTTTTATTTGATTCAACCAATGAATCTAATGCATCACGTGTTGAATAATATAGAATATTCTTCGCCTAGAGAAGAAAAAAAACATATTTTGTTTTTGTCTAATTAATAATTAATAAGTAAAAATTTACCTGCAATATATCAGCATGATTTGTATGTGTTTTTGATAATGTTCGAAATTCATTTGTTGTTATTAAACATCGATCAAGATTTTCCGGTGAAACAAAATCTTCAGCAATTTTTATACATGAATGTAAATTTTTCACCTATAATGTAGAATTTATTAGAATGAGAAATTTTGTTTTTGTGTTAATTACTTGATGAGGTGCACCACTTGGAATAAAAACAGCATCGCCAAGAAATTGAAGAATTGGATATGATTCTACTTTACTCCAATCTCGTAATTTTTCTAAATCTTCCTTTTCTAAATAAGCAGTTTGATCATGTATAGAATCAGTACCAGCAGCTTTACGTTGAGTCTGAAAATAAAAATTAATGCATCGAAAATAAAAAAAATAAAAACATACTCGTCCAATATATTCACGAATTTTTTTTGCATCATCAGAACGAAATAAATGCCATAGAGCACCTGGTCTTTCTCCATTTCTTAATCGTTGTAATTGTGCTTCATCAATATTTGATTCAAGAATTTCTGCTTCGACTTCTACAATAAACAAAAAGGAATCAAGTTTATTTTTCTTATAGAATTTTTATTTACGTCGAAGTTCCTCTTCTATATCTGATCCATCTTCACCATGACCACCTATACCAACATAAACAAGAACATTAACAGCATCAGATACATCGACATGAAGATTTGTTGTTCCCGCTTTCTTTGTTGCTAGACTTGTAAGTTGACCTATTGAAAAAATATATATTATAATGTTATTTCAATCTCATATATAAACTTACTATAAGCAATATAAAGCTTCGGTCCAAGATCTGGTTTAACTAAACATGATGGTAATCGTTCAACAATATTCATTGCACCACCATGATATGTAGTTCCTTCATATGTATATGATCGTCTCGTGTAATCACCTGAAATAAATAATTACATAAATATTTCTTTAAAAGAAGAAAAATGTATTTATTTACCAAATGGAATATTATTCATAAGATCATGTAAAAGTGTTGGAAAAACAGAGGCAAAATCTTTTTTTGTTGGCCAATCTTTTAATTTTAATATTCTCGGTCGATCACCATGTTGTTCATCTCGTAAACGAACTAAAATATTTCAAATTAAGCATTTCGAATTTTTCTTATTAAAATAATTTACTATCTAAACGTTCAAATCCATCCCAAAATCTTGTTAAAATTGTTTGATCTGTTAATATTGGTGTTAATGTTTCACAATCCCATAAAGCTGGTGTTTCACGATGATCAATCATATGTTCTTTAAATGCATCAGGTTGCCAAAGTGTTTTCGATAAATTATGATGTATTTGTTTAACAAGTACAGGACAACTAGTTCCCCAAACTTTTTGAAAAAACTATTGGAGAAAAAACCAACATTACACACATACACATATATATAAATATTGAATTTACTTGTTTTGCATTCTCAGTAATCCATTCATTAAAAACCGGTAAACGACCATTACAATAAAATTCTATATTTGCATCATTATTACAATCATTAGATGACCATATCTTTTTAACATCACGATTATCATGTGATCGTTTCATTTTTAAACTTTTTATAAATGTTGAAAGTTTTTCTGTTTTTGTTGAATGATATAATTTTATTGAATAATCAATTTTCAATCGACTTAAATAATCGGTCACATTATTACGTAATTTTACTATCACTAAAAAATACAATTTTATTTTCAAAAAAATATTTCAAATTAACTTACTATTCCACGGAATAAATTCCGATAAATAAAATGAATTATCATGTGTACATAAACGTTTTAATTCTAAACGAAAAACAAAATTATATATAGATTCAACTAGTAATTACTGCTCATTTCAATATAAAACGCGAGTGGGTATTTTTCGATAAGAAGTTATGGGGTTTTCCCCATTGAAAGGAGGCGAGTAAATGAAAATATTCCTTTAACTACTTTCTTACGGGTTGTAGTCAGACATTTTGACAACAATTTTTTTTTTGCATACATTCGATTACCTATCAAAAAATACCCTCTAACCTTTTGTATCGAAATGAAGCAAATAATTAGATGTTTTTCTCATTCCCTGATTCTATGTAAAAAAAAAAGTGTTTATAATATTTACTTTTTCGTTTTTCGGTTGTTAATTGTGAAAATTGGTTTGAACATTCAATACAGACCATATATCCACATTGTTTACACATATAATGATAATTAAAAAGTGTCGTTAAGCATTCATCGCATACTTCTCTCCAACCTGCCATATATTTTTTCCAAATTATATTTTCTTCAAAAAAAAATAATTTATATAAATTAAAAAAGAGAAAGAATTTTCTTTTATATTACTTTCATTATGTGTCGTACGTTCATTCTGTTCATGATGAAATGAAAAGCAAAAAACTTTAGCAATTTGTGTTAATATATAATTTGCATTCGAAGATGTTAAAGCTGGTTGACCACCTAAGAAAAAAACAAAGAGAAATTTTTCATATGTAGAATTTGAATTTACTTGAATTTGGTGTACATAATGCTTCAATATCTTGTTGTTTAGCATCCATAGATGTTGTAAATCCATCATATTCATATATATTATCACCGAAATATTTCAATCTAAATTAAAATAGAAGTTCATTTTCAAAGCAATCGATAGTTTTATGGATTGTGGAAATGTTATCAGTAAAAGATGAATTTTTTTGTATAATAATTTTAAAATTCTTACGTTCGACAATGTTGAAATCGACAACCAGCAAGATGTGATCTTAAATCTCTTGGATTAGCTGTTTGACAATCAACACATCTTGGAATATTCTTTGGATATGATATACAATAATTTTGTTGAGTAATAATAACTAAAAAAAGAACGAATAAATATTTTGATGATTTTAATAAAATATATTTACCAGGTTCTGTTTTTTCATATCGACGTTTAACTAAAACTTGTTCTGATGATGATTCTAAAGATCGTTTATTATTATTATTAGTTAGAGATGATGAAGGATTAATCGTATTAGTTTCATCAACAGTTGACACTCCATTCGTATCTAATGAAAGTAAAGCCATTGGTTTGATCGATAAATTAAATTGTGATATACGAGTATTATTACTACTTTCAGTTTTTATTTGACCTGGCTGTGTTGGACGTCGAGCAAATACAGGTGAACGACATGAGTGACGAAAGGATTCACAATTTCTATTCAATATAAAAATGTATTATTATTATTATCTTGGAAATATAAATTAAATATTCATTCATTTTAAAGTATCGAATAATAGAATTCTTGATTAGTTTTTATTAATAATTCTATTCTTTTATAAATATCTTACTTTTATTTTTATGTGCATTACTTTAACCTGATACAAGTACTATTTTTAAGAGTAATAATTTATCTTCTGAGAAATTTCGAAAAAAAAAATTTATTTACCGATCTAGAATATTATTTGAAAAATATGTTGGATTTGTTTTTGATTCTGCTACATAATACGGTGAATATCTTGGTCGATATTGTGGACTTTTATTATTATCCTCATTATTATTATTAATTGAATCATTTTGGTTTTGTACAAGTGAAATTGATTCATTTAATTTTGTTGGAGATGTTAATAAACGATGAAGAATTGGTGATATATGAGAATGTTTAGTTACAAGATCTGTTGGAGGTTTTTTTTCAACTTTAATAACAACATCTGTAATTAAAAAATAAATAAAAATCTTTATATATATATCGTTTTTATTTTACCTGTTATTTCCGAATTTGATTTACTATCAGTATTACATTCTTGTTTATTTATTATTGTTAATGTTGAATCTTTTGTAACACATAAATCTAATGGAGAATTTTGTTGACGAACTGGTTTAACTTTTGGACTTGAATTAGGTGATGATGCACATGATGAAACATTAGGACTACAATCACCAGCTGAACTTATTGGTGAAGCAGTTGAATCTGATATTACATTCGATTTTGTATTATTTGAATCATTTACTTCAGAAGAACAATCAGTTTCGGTCATGGATGGAATACAAAAATAAACATCGGATTGACTTAATAATTGTTTACAGGGTGAAGTGTGTGATGCATTTGATGAAGAAGTATTTTCAACAAATCGTTGACAAAAACAATTTAATGTACAAAGATCAAGTAAACTTGGATTATGTTGTCTTAAAGCGGTAGTGCCTGGTGATGGTGGTTGCATTGGTTCATTTTTTAATTCAAGAAATGGTCCGGATGGGCCTGGATGTAAATATGTTGCTAATTTATGAGATCCCATATATTCATCCATCTGGATAGAGGAAAGAAAATTTAAAAAAAAAATTCTTCATTTATTTAATTGACATACCTATTATGGATATCTATTGCATTTTTTATTGATTTTCACATTCATTTATTGTTAATTACTAATAAATGTTATCAATGAACAAGAAAGAGAGCTCCCTCTAGATTCTTTTCTTTTCTTATAAAATCAATCAATCGATACTTCACATGAGATTAAACGACCAATCACTAACAATGCAGCTCTCATGACATCTATTATAATAAAGAGGCATACTCGTTTAATTCTGATTGGTTAATAAATTTCTCAAATTAGGATGATGATTAATATTAAAATTTCGCGTGCTATTCAATATTATATGATTTACGTCTATTTAATTAGAGATAAACGAGAATATTCTCTCTCTCTTTATTATATGAAGAGATAAGAAGAAACGGAAGTGTGTAGATAAGATGTTATTCGGTACGTGTGTTATTTGATAAATCTACTTATATATCTAATAATAACTTTATCGATAAAATATTTTAGGCATTTTTATTCTTCTATTAATATTTTGTTCGGAAATAAAATCACAAGTACAAAAACATGATCCAGATTGTGATTTAAATATTACACAATTAATTCAAAGTAAAGGTTACCCATGTGAAGAACATAAAATTCTTACAAATGATGGTTACATTCTTGGTGTATTTCGTATTCCATATGGTCGAAATGGTTCATCATCAACTATAGGTCGACCTGTACTTCTTCAACATGGTCTTCTTGATTCAGCAACAACATGGGTAATGAATTATCCCGATCAAAGTCTTGGTTATATACTTGCTGATGCCGGATATGATGTTTGGCTTGGTAATGTACGAGGAAATTATTATTCTCGAGCACATACCAAATATGATCCTAATCATGATGAAGAATTTTGGGATTTTAGTTGGGATGATATGGCTAGAGATGATCTTCCATCGATGATTTATTATATTTTGAATATGACACAACATGCACAAATCGGTTATGTTGGTCATTCACAAGGAACAATGATTGGTTTTGCCGGATTCGGTCATCCAGATAGTGTTTTACAAAATAGTGTAAGCTTCTACGGTGCTTTAGCTCCTGTTGCTCATTTAGGACATATAAGATCGCCGATAAAATATTTATCGTCAACAACGAAAGAATTAGAACTTTATTGGCATTTATTATTTGGTCGAAATGAATTTCTCCCATCAAGTTATATAATAAAATGGCTTGGTATATTTGCATGTGGTGAAATTATACTCGATCACATACTTTGTCAAAATATTTTATTTATCTTATGTGGACCAGAAAAGAAAAATATGAATGAAACACGAATTCCAGTTTATATAGCACATGAACCTGATGGAACATCAGTCAAAAATATGATTCATTTTGCACAAGGTGTACAGACAAATCAATTTCAAGCATACGATTATGGGTCAGCACAAAAAAATCAATTACATTATAATCAAACAACACCGCCTGAATATGATCTCCAGAGATTAAAAATTCCAACAGCAATTTTTTATTCTGGTAAAGATTGGCTAGCTGATCCAGTTGATGTTGCATATATTTTTGATAATTTACAAAATCTTGTTTACGAAAAATATATTCCAGAATATAATCATTTAGATTTTGTTTGGGCTTTATCAGCAAATAAAATTATTTATTATGATCTACTCAATGTTATGAAAAAATATCATCCATGTAATTAATTATATTTTAAATTTAGTTTTTTATATTTGATAAAATTTATCTTGTAAATAATAAAGTGAAAACTTATGAAAGTAAACTATGAATATAATAAACAAGTTGTTTGAAATGTACGTGGGGAATAGAATTTATATACTCACCATTTTTACTTTGTCGATCACACCATACATATTGATATGAAAGAAAGAAAATTACTGGTTAAAACACACGCATATATATATTATCTATCTGATGCTTTTCGTGATAACAACGAGAAGACGAAAAATTTGTAAGAGAAATGTTCTCATGTATGTATGTATGTATGATTTCTAATACATTATTATTTCTTGAATAATTTAGATCTTTCAAATCTTCTCTTCTTCGTTTTATTATTTTATTCGATATCATCATTACCACTACGAGAACATGATCCAGATTGTGATTTAAATATTACACAATTAATTCAAAGTAAAGGTTACCCATGTGAAGAACATAAAATTCTTACGAATGATGGTTATATTCTTGGTGTTTTTCGTATTCCATATGGTCGAAATGGTTCATCATCAACTATAGGTCGACCTGTACTTCTTCAGCATGGTCTTCTTGATGCAGCTGTGACATGGGTAATGAATTTTCCTGATCAAAGTCTTGCTTTTATGCTTGCAGATGTTGGTTATGATGTTTGGCTTGGTAATGTACGAGGAAATTATTATTCTCGAGCACATACAAAATACGATCCTGATCGTGATATAGAATTTTGGGATTTTAGTTGGGATGATATGGCTAGAGATGATCTTCCATCAATGATTTACTATATTTTAAATGTAACAAAAAATACACAAATCGGATATGTTGGTCATTCACAAGGAACCATGATTGCCTTTGCTGAATTTGGTCATCCAAATAGTGTTTTACAGAATAATGTAAGCTTCTATGGTGCTTTAGCTCCTGTTGTTCATTTAGGACATATCAAATCGCCGCTAAAATATTTATTTGGTCATTCAAAAAACCCTGAACATTTCTGGCATGTATTATTTGGTTATAAAGATTTTCTTCCATCATCAGATACTATTAAATGGCTTGCAAAACATGCATGTGGAAGTGTTATATTTGATCCATTAATTTGTGAAAATATTCTATTTGTTATATGTGGACCTGATAAAAAAAATATGAATAATACACGAATGGAAGTTTATATATCTCATGAACCTGATGGAACATCAGTAAAAAACATGATTCATTTTGCACAAATGTATTTTTCAAATCAATTTCAAGCATATGATTATGGTTCACCGGAGAAGAATCAACAACATTACAATCAAACAACACCACCAATATATTCAATTCGTCCTATGAAAATACCAACAGCTATATTTTGGTCACCCGATGATTGGCTTGCTGATGTAGACGATATGGCTTTTATTTTTGATAATATTCAAAATTTAGTCTATGAAAAGTATATTCCAGGTTATAATCATTTAGATTTTGTATGGGCTGTAACAGCAAACAAAATCATCTATGAAGATTTAATCAATCAAATGCAAAAATATCATCCATTCAAATAATTAGATTTTATTTTTATTTTCTTAAAATAAATATGAAAAGATTAGTTTTTGTCACATGTTTACAGTAAAATAAGGTAAAAACTGATAGCGCAGGTCTCTATTCTTATCTAAAGGTAGACAAAAATAAAAAATAAAATTCATTCAGTGTCTGTCTTGTGTGGTGATAATTAGAACAAATGCATGAAATAATGCTGGGTATTCTAAGTTTGTTCGTTGTATTTTCATTAAGTCATTCTATGGCTTTATCACGAGTACAACAACAACAACAACAACAAAAACAACCTGATCCGGATTGTAATTATAATATTACTCAAATAATTCAAAGTAAAGGTTATCCATGTGAAGAACATAAAGTAACTACAAAAGATGGTTATATTCTTGGTGTATTTCGTATTCCACACGGTCGTAAATCAACAAAACCAGGTCGACCTGTACTTCTTCAACATGGCCTTCTTGATTCAGCAACAACATGGGTAATGAATTTTCCTGATCAAAGTCTTGGTTATATTCTTGCTGATGCTGGTTATGATGTTTGGCTTGGAAATATGCGTGGAAATTATTATTCTCGTGCACATACAAAATATGATCCTAATCATGATGAAGAATTTTGGGACTTTAGTTGGGATGATATGGCAAGAGATGATCTTCCATCGATGATTTACTATATTTTAAATGTAACAAAAAATACACAAATCGGTTATGTTGGTCATTCACAAGGAACCATGATTGCCTTTGCTGAATTTGGTCATCCAGATAGTGTTTTACAAAACAATGTAAGCTTCTATGGTGCTTTAGCTCCTGTTGCGCATGTCGGACATATAAAATCACCAATACGATATTTATCATCAGCAACTATCACAAAAGATATAGAAATTTTTTGGCATTTATTATTTGGTAGAAATGAATTTCTTCCATCAAGTTATATAACTAAATGGCTTGGAACATTTGCTTGTGGAGAAGTTATAATCGATCGTGTCGTTTGTGATAATATTTTCTTTTTACTTTTTGGACCAGAAAAAAAAAATTTAAATGAAACACGCATGCCAGTCTATGTATCACATGAACCGGATGGAACATCAGTCAAAAATATGATTCAATTTGCACAAGGCGTACAGACAAATCAATTTCAAGCATATGATTATGGTTCACCAGAAAAGAATCAATTACATTATAATCAAACAACACCACCACCCTATTCTATTCGTCCTATGAAAGTACCAACAGCAATATTTTCCGGTGGTGAAGATTGGCTTGCCGATCCAGATGATATGAATTATATTTTTGATAATATTCAAAGTCTTGTTTTTAAAAAATATATCCCAGATTATAATCATGTAGATTTCGTTTGGGCTTTATCAGCAAATAAACTTATTTATGTTGATTTACTTAACGTCATGCAAAAATATCATCCAGCTAACTAACTATTTTTTTGATGATTGTATTATTAAAGTTTTTTTTAAATTTCTAATGTGTAATAATAAAATATATTAAATATTGTATCTTTTAAATAGTTATATTTAGAAAGTTAAAAAAAAACATATTATGTTGTTTTGTATTTGATGTAAGACACAGCGTACTTTAACCTACATAGTATGTCTGTAAATGTAGGTAAAGAATTTCACAATATTTTGATATTCTTTTTCTTATCATGTCAAAAAGATATTTTTGATGCTGAATAGTAGAATAATTAAAAATTAATGTTGTTCCAACTATTTGTTAAAACTTCTTTCTACAATATATGAATAGTGATATGCTAGTATTTTAACCATGTGACTTTTATTTCTAAATTAAGATATCATATATATCAACATTTATTATCTTTCTCATCTATGTTGAGATAAGTAAAACAAAGCATTTTGTGTAAGATGATATTTCGTATGTATATTGTAATTAATCGAGATTATTTATAAATTCTTTTTTCCTCTTATTTTTCATATCAGATTTTCGAAGTTTGATAATCTTATCAGTATGCTATTTCGTAACTGCATCACCAATTCAAAAAGTTGATCCAGAGTGTGATTATAATATTACTCAATTGATTGAAAGTAAAGGTTATAAATGCGAAGAACACAAAGTAACTACAAAAGATGGTTATATTCTTGGTGTTTTTCGTATTCCACATGGTCGAAATGGTTCATCATCTACTATAGGTCGACCTGTACTTCTTCAACATGGTCTTCTCGATGCTGCTACGACATGGGTCATGAATTATCCTGATCAAAGTCTTGCTTTTATTCTTGCAGATATTGGTTATGATGTTTGGCTTGGAAATATGCGTGGTAATCGTTACTCTCGTGCACATACGAAATACGATCCTAATCATGATGAACAATTCTGGAATTTTAGTTGGGATGATATGGCAAGAGATGATCTTCCTTCGATGATTTATTATATTTTAAATGTAACAAAAAATACACAAATCGGATATGTTGGTCATTCACAAGGTACATTAATTGCTTTTGCTGAATTTGGAAATTTGAATAATAATCTTCAAAATAATGTTAGTTTTTATGCATCTCTTGCACCGATCGCTCATGTTGGACATCAAAAAACACCGTTAAAATATTTAGATACTGATAGTAAAGAACTTGAACGTTATTGGCATAAATTATTTGGCCGAAATGAATTTCTACCAGCATCAAATATTCTAAAATGGCTTAGTAAATATGCTTGTGCAGAATTTTTCGTTGATCGATTAATTTGTGAAAATATGTTATTTATTATTGGTGGACCAGATACAAAAAATATGAATAGTTCACGTATGTCTGTTTATGCATCACATGGACCTTCGGGAACATCTGTACAAAATATGGTACATTTTATGCAATGTGGTCGATCAAATCAATTTCAAGCATATGATTATGGTTCACCAGAGAAGAATCAACAACATTATAATCAAACAACGCCACCATTATATTCTATGCATTCTATGAAAGTACCAACAGCAATATTTTGGGGAGGTGAAGATTGGCTTGCTGATCCAGTTGATGTTGCTTATGTGTTTGATAACATTCCAAATTTAATCTATGAAAAATATATTCCAAATTATAATCATTTTGATTTTGTATGGGCTATAACAGCAAATAAAATTATCTATCAAGATTTAATTAATGTCATGCAAAAATATCATCCAATTCAATAGATTTCGAACTTGTTTTTCTATCTAGTAGATTGTTTACCATTAATATTTAACGCTTCTTTTTTCGTTCGAGTCTAGAAGTATGTTTGTTTGTCTACTTATCAGTAATGTAGAATAAAGATATATCTGTTCTGCATACACATCGACCAAAATAGTCAGTCTAATTCTTTTGAATGAGAAAAGATTTATCTATTTATTCACTAAAAATTTTTGTTGGCTGATTAATAATTTATGAATATTTCAAAGTATGTAAATAATTGATCAATAAAAACTGATCAATCATTTTCAAACATATAATTACAAATAACACAAAATATATATTCAACAAACATAAAATCTTTGTTTTCATTGTCTAGTCCTATCCGTATTATTTATTATAATTTTGTCTATGACTATTTAATTAAATGAGATTATAGGCGTATTTCTGCTCCGTAAACTCACGAATGAATAATTCTATATTACAGTTAACGTGACATGTCAAACTAAAAATATTGAACAAAAATACTCATTATAGCCTATATATAAACATTTCAGAGGATTATTATATAAAGATCTACGATTCAAGTTTTAGTCTTATAGAATTTATCAATAAAATAAGCAGAAAGAAAAAGACAATGAAATATATATATATATATAATAGTTATTTTAAGTCAGTAATATCGTCATTTTGTTGATTGTTAGTAAGTAATTTTTGATTTTCTTTCAATAAGAAATCTTCATCTTCTTTTTCTATTATTCGTAATGCATTTTTTAATACATAAGCAACAATTTCAGCTGATATATCTTGATAAACTAAATCTTTACTATTACCAATTGATATTCGTCGTGGTTTGATTATATGATGAAAATTTTGATCGAAATCATTTTCATTATCATCAACAATAGATGATTCATCAATTGTATTTATTGTTTTGTCAATATCTGTTGTTGTTGTTGTTATAATAGGATCATTATGTACAAATTCATGTTCATTACTTTCTTTTATTGAATCTTGACTATCATTATCATATTGAATTTGTTCAGCAAATGAAACACTTTTATAGTGACATAAACGATTTTGTCGATGATTTTTATTTGATGAAGAATTCATTGATGATTGACGATGACCTTTTATTGATTTATGTTGTTGATTAATTGTTATATCATCTAAATTTTTTTGTTCTGTTGATGATATAGAATCCATAGATTTATCTAATACTGGTTTAATTGAAGCATTTGTTTCAAAATCAATTATTTCAAGTGGTGATGATGATAATAATGATTCTTGATGTGTAACAAATGATGTTTGTTGTGATGATAAAATTGATTCTCGATTAGGTGAAGTGTGCGTTTTTGACGATGATGATCGAGCAAAATCACGCTTCAATGCAATTAATGGACGAGCTAAATATTAAGAGAAACATTAAATTAATTGTCAATGTTCAGATTTAATATATGAACTCATGGCTTCGTTATTTTTCACAGCACGTACATCTTCTATGATAAAAATGCTTTTCTCATGAGAATAAAAGAAAATATTAAAAGAAGTCGATATGACTCTTAAAAACATTTAGTTTTTTTATTTCGTATTTATAGGAAATAAACTTACCAATACGTTGTTCAAAAGCACCTTGAACTGCATCACCATAAGATTTTAATTGCCCAAAAAGACTATTTTTAAAAGTATCAACTGGAGATGTCATTGAGATTGAGTATAAAGATGACAGACTGTAATAGAATACAAACAAAAAAAAAAAAGAATAGAAAATAAAGAGACGTAAAGAGATTGATTATTAGAGAAAGAAGGAAAACTCATGCCACAATGATTTCTTTTTTCTTCTTCTTTTTTTATTCTGTTAAGTTTCTTGGCTTTACATCAACATCCTTTTTCTTTTTCGTATGAATCTCTTGTTCTTATTGTTTTTTTGTTTTCTTCTCGTAGAAGAAATTTATCTCTTGCGTTTTCTGCATGTGTTCAATACTAATGGAAAGACCACTAAAGAGACGTATAGTTGTTATTGAGAATAAAAAAAAGAAATGAGCATTACTATCAAGCGTTCATATGACAAGGCAACCTTTTAATAAAGCTAACTAGATTTTTCTATAACGGAAAATATTAATGACTTACTCGTTCGTACGTTAGATGATTAATGAAATGTTCTAATATATTTAATCGATAATAGAAATACGATATGTTTACTATTAAATAAACGACAACATGATTATTTTGATGAAATTTTTCATCATGATCATCATCGTGTTTATAAAAGAATATATATATATATAAACGTTAAGAGATGAGATGAGAGTAAAGGAAAAAGGAATTTGGCTGAAATAAATCATTTTCTTTTTTTTTCAATAGTACTCTCTATATTGCAATAGTATTCATTATTGAATAGCTCGATTATTACTTATCTATGTTCAATGTGATAGATCGAAGGCACATAGCGTAAGATAAAGAATAAATGCGTTACTAGAAAGCTCATTTTTTTCTTTCTTTCTTTCTTTTACGAATCTCATAATTGTTCTTAATGAAAGAAAAATAGCTGAAGGATTGAATCACATATATTTCAATACTTCACTGAAGATTTATCTTCCGGCTTATATATATATATAAAAATTAATATAAATTCTTAATTACAATTATCAAAATTTATTGACAAAATAAATTCATTCAAGAACGTCTTATTTTTTTATTATAAAAAAAAAATAAATAAATTATATATATATATTTCAACTCATTACTCTTCGAAAACGTAATTCACCAGCCATTTGAATTGCTGTACAACATGGACAACATTCAGAAGCTAAACAATCAGAAAGATATGTACCCTAAAAAATAAATAAATAGATAAATAAATATATTATACTTTCTTTACTATACATTTATTCGAAATGCTGTACGCATTTTTGTTCGTAATACAGCTAAACGACCAGGTAGACAGCATGTTAACCAACATGATTCATTCATACGCCAACCAAGTTGACATACAAAACAAGGAAAACACCATATACTATAACATGTTTCATCACAATTGTCTGTACAATTATAAAATCCATGTGCCCAAGGATTTTCAAAATCCCATGGATTGTATTGATAACCATCAGTAGGTTGTTTTGTATTATTATAAGAATCTGAATTATAATTCATTTCTGATGAATATCGCGAATCATTTCGTGTGGCCATGTTGAATTATAATAGTAAAAGAAAACGAAATAAATGCTAATGTTTAAGTTAAAATTGTTATGTATGTCGCCAACACAAATACTTTCATTTTTTTCTTCTTCTTCTTCTGTTGACATATGACGAAAGATGTATTTGTCAGGATTAAAATTTCTAGTTATGTTTGTTTTTTGGATAGAAAAGAAAATTGTTTCTTTTCTTTTTTTTTTGCATTTACAATTATCGTCAAAATGGATTGAAAAAATTCAACGATCTTCTTAATAAATAACAACCTCACTTACAGATTTATTCGTTGTAAAAATCTCAAAAAAAAAGAGAAATCATGATACAATGAATATTTACGTACAAAGAAAAATCTCAATTTTTCTAGCTAATAAGATCTTATTATTCTAAGGAAAAGAAAATATGAGGCATTATTGATTCGCGTGTTCGATTATTAATGCATAGTATGTAGTTTTTGAAAATCTATATGACATGCTTGTGAATGATTAAGCATTTAAGAATGAAAAATTTTTTTCATTTATAATAAAATTAAACATAAAACATATAACTGTAGAGATAACTAGATGGTACAAAAGTTCAATTTGTATGCACAAATATGATGTGAAGCTTTTTTGGGAAGTGTACCTATGTTTACTTCTATAAACATTGGATCAAGTCCGCTTAAAATAATCTGATTACTTCATTCTGTTTTGCACTAAATATCAGTGAGTTCGTAAGATTTGTTAAAGAAAAACAGATATAATGAAATTTATGGCTATCGTATCTGAGGAGGAAAAAGGTCGGATCAGTCAAGATCTACTTTCTACGTCGATTGAAAATTGTTGTATTATAATGTACTCTGACGAGTTTAGTCTAACAAAGTAAAATCTAATAAATCTGTTCTATTATCTTTAATTCACTTTTTACCTTCAGTTTTGAATGAAAAGCTCTTTTCTGATCAGTATATCGAAATATTGGTAAAACTCTCATTATGATATTTTTTTGCACGGACATACATTCAGTTAATCATTTAGTTACTTCCGATTTTTATCCTTTTTTTCCCTATTGTTTAAATGCTTCTTTTCTTTGACATTCATGAATATGTACAATATTAAAGAAAATATCAGATTAGCCATAGGAAAATAAAAAGATTATCGAATTCGATTCAAATTTTAAACTTTACTCACGTGTGCGCTACACCATCGAATAATAAGAGAATTGTAAATTGAAAACTAACATCAAGAAGCTTTTCATATTTTTATTGGAATTTTTATTTTGCAGTACGTTGTAATTGATAATTCAAGATAAAAGCAAGATGAGTATCTTTTCTACGCATTTATCTATACAGATAATTTCACATAAGAAAGATTAGACGATAGTATAAAATACGGTATAGCATTCATAATGAGAATAAACAGACTCAGTTTTAGTTCTTTTTTATTGATGAATAGATATCAATAAGAAAATAATATGTTTCTTAGTTTTCATTATATCGATAGATGCATAAGAAATTAACTTTATTTTGTTATTTCTCTTTGAACCTTTTTTAATCATTATTGCAGTTTAGTTCTGTTATTTTCCACTGCAGAGACGGAGGAAAAGAGAATTTAGACTAGCCCACCCCTTTCACCTTGTTTTATTCAGAACGATGAGGAGACGATAAAAAGAAAAACTCTTAATATGCAATGTGAACTATTTATGACTTGAACACTGCTGAATGAAACCTTAGAAGAATAACAAATGAAAACGAAATAATAAACCACATTTCTAATCATGATTTCTGTCAAAATAAGACGATATCTTCAAGGTATTCTTTTCTTTTATTTCTAATACATAGATAATATTTTAAAGTACATCACTCTAAATGTTGAAAGTACACATCATCGTGTTTCAGTAATTGAAAATTTGATATCGTTCTGCTGATACCATTACCTGACAGTATGAAAAAATGTAAGCTTTACGGTTAAAAAAGACTAAATATGTTGTATATATTTGAGTTACGGCTTTTTTTTTATAATCACGATATTAAAGTATATGGTTTCATACGTAATGAAAGTTAGCAGCAGATTCGTGTTTTCCTTGCTGATATTCGCTCTAGAATCTTGAGGGTGACTGCGGATCGATGTAGGTGTTGATTTTCGCTTCTCCTTCATGCACTACATACCCACATCGTCAAACAAAACTGATCTATGTGTATACAAGATGTTGATTCTACATGTATTATGCATTCAAATAAATAACAGATTAGTAGGGTGTTGATTTGTAGGTGTCGATGTGGATAATGTAACCATATCCTATCCACCCACATCTAAAGCCACACCGATACTCTTATCCATATCAAGTTCTCGGAGTACACAAGAAAATTTAAAGAAAAAATAAAAATGTTCATTTTCTTGAATCTATACAGCAATCATATCTTTGTCCATGCGCGTCATAGATTCGAACTATTTTTGTCACTGAACTCTACTTATAGCTAAAATATGGAGTCAAACGGCGTCCGACAGTTGGATATGTTCTATTAAGTTTAAAATCGTTCTATAGCGACTTTAGTCTACTTTTATACGTTGCACACTTACAACCGTATTCTCAAGATGCATAATATAATGATTTTGGACGTCGTTTTTTTCTTTATAAAACCATGTTATTATTGGTAAGTGGGCAGAAATAAATGTACTCGAAGAAGAGAGAGAGGTAAGTAGGATAAATACGAAGAATAACATGGAGCAATATACTATTTCAATACACTTTTTTCGTAAATATACAGGTGAGAGGATGGATATGACACCAACCAAGTTGTTAACGAAGATCATTTCAGTATTGAGGGTGTGGGTGTGGGTAATATTCATATCTTCATCTATACCCATCTACTTCATTTTTCATCGTAGCTACAATATTCAGTCGCTAAGTGATCTATATTTCGTTTTTCATTTTTAGAAATAACTCTGCGATATCGATAATAAATCAAAATATGTCGACGATCATTCCCAACGATAAAACAGCGGTAAAAGACGAAAGAAAATGGCATCGTCGCCATTCAATTATTCGTGAATTCAGCTTAAATACATCAACTCATGGAATTCCGGGTATTGCTCGAGGTGAAAGTATACAGAATCGTGTATTTTGGTCGGTCTCTTTAATTGGCTTTACTGCTATTATGATCTATTTTATTGTTAAAGCAATTTTAGCCTATTTCGATTATCCAACACAGTTCAATCTGGATATTGTCAGTAAATGGCCACAGTATTTTCCAGCAGTAACTATTTGTAATAGTTCACCACTTCGTTTTGATAAATTTATTGAACCATTTTTAAATTATACAAATTCACTTAATTTGACCAATTCGAATGATACTAGTACATTTTCACCACTTCAAGCGACGTATATTCCAGATTTTCTAATTGATAAGGTCAATAAAAATGAATCATTGGAATCAATGTTTTATTCTCTTTCTTCAATGCTCTACAAATGTACTTACAATGGTTTGCCATGTTCAACAGCTGATTTCATTTCATTTACTACAGCATATTACGGTCGTTGCTATACATTCAATGCTAAAATGATCAATAGTAATAGCAATAGTCTACATTACGGAAATGAAAATGGTGGTAATGGAATACTTGAGTTAGAGCTTTATGTACATAACCATCAATATGTGCCATGTTTTACAACTGGTATGTAGGGTATTCAATTCATCGAAATATATACTTTTCGTTTTTGTCTTTATAAAAGGTATTGGCGTGGTAAGTGTTGTACATGATAATGCTCAAATTCCATTAGTCGATGCAGCAGGCATTGAACTCGCACCTCGACGAAAACACAAGTTGGCCTATAAGAAAAAGCAAACTTTTCTATTACCTTTACCTTATACGCCATGTACTAACAAAGTCCCTTCCGATATGCAAACCATGTTAACACATTATAATGGTGCTGATTATGGCTATGTCGAGTTTGTATGCTATCAAATTTGTGGACAGGTGTATGCGTAAGTATTTTATGAGATATTTTATCTCTACGTTTCTAAACAATCACACGAAATAATAGTTGAAAGTGTTCAGTTTGAAAATATGTGGTCGATTATGGTTAAAGTTATTTCGGCTGAGAAATGATGAGATTACCGTATCAGTATTTTTTAACTAGTGCTCCTGTGCAGAAATATGAAAATTTGATAGTTTAAGAGGTAGATTCTTTAGTATGCGAGATTATCTATTGAGATGGAGTGAAGGACTTGAGAGAAAATATGTCGACGTATTTATTCTTGACAAATAGATATATTTGTTGTAGTTATGAACAATGTGGTTGTATCGATCCTACTCTATGGAATATCCGATCACTTACGTTACCAAGTACAAACAAAACTATTTTTGCACCTCTCTGCAAGTCCAATGATACCTGTTTTATTGGAGCAGTTAATACACTTTTGAATTCGTTTGATCTTCAAAATATATATTGCTTCGATTGTTTACAACAATGTACATTGAAAAATTTTTTTATTCAAACATCATCATTAGCAGCAGTATTCGAGTGGGAAATGAATGGGATTAAAGCATTTGTAGAAAATTCTTCGATTCCATTACCATCCGACTGGTCAGCTGCATGGCGTACATATGTTCAAGATAGCTATCTGGTCCTTAGAGTCGTACGAGAGACAAATTTAATCGAAAACTATACACAAAATGCACAACTTAATGTAGTAGATGTTCTTTCAAATATTGGAGGTCAAACCGGTCTATGGATTGGTATTAGTTTTCTTTCGTTAATGGAATTCATTGAAATGATATACAGACTTAGTCGATATCAATGTCATTTGATTCAAGTGGCAATACGAAGAAGATAATAAACAATATTATAATAAACACTGATCGTTATTTTATTTTGAATAAAACAAATACAAAAAATTCAACAGATGTGTATACTGAGAATTCATTTGCAATCCTGCTTTCTTCTAGTTAAAAATAGAACTTTCTCTTCAGCCGGATGTCAGTATCAGCATAAGATATCAACACCCACACCCTGATTATAGGTATCTCTTGTTTACTCATACTTGGATACACATCCACTCTCAAGATTTTTATTTCTTTTAATATTTATTTCTTCCATTGTAATATAATATAATGTAATGTTTTCATAATACGTATTACAAAACTACGTCTTCATTTATAAGCTCACTTGATAATGAAGAAAAAATTCAAACGACTTACCGTTACAATATTTATTATTTCTAAGATGAAATACCAACAAATTGCGTTAATACCTTCTTATATTTAGTGTACTTGAAACAGTAAAATCAACATAATGTCAAATCCATATTTTTCCCGATATTGAATTACTGAAGAACTGTTTCAATCATTCAAGCCTTAAAGTCTCTACTTCTCAAAGTGTGTTGTTAATGTGTGCTATTCATCCCTTTAAACCTCTAATGACATTCACTTGTTGAATATTTAAATAATATATTATATTTATGATTAATTCAAAAAAAAAACTGTTTCAGAATTACTTTATGATCGGAACAATATATTTAATCTACTAAAATATTTTATTTTTAAATAATGTCAATCTGTCTTTAAACAGTTTGTATAATTTATTGATTAAATTGTTTTTATATTTTATTATGAAATTTTTTAATAATCTTTCGTTTTTCGGCAATTTATTGAATAAGTAAAAAAACAAAAACAAATATTTATATTTATTCCTTGTATCCTTCTTGCTCTTCTTTTTCGAGAATATCAATTAATTCTTTAAATTCATTTTGGACATATGGATGAAGTGCTTCTACAAATAATTTGTCCAATTTGCGGATTTTTTATCAATTGTAATACGTCTGATTGATCTTGAGCATGATGACCAGGCAAACGTTTAACTGATATTAATTTTAGTTCAATTAGTTCTGATAATGTAATAAAAGAGTAACCATCAATTAATCGACTATTTAATTTTGGATTAAGAAATTCTACTGAAACATCTTTTCCATCGTTACGCTGCTCCTATATATTGATTCAATGATTATGTGTTACTTATCAATGTACTATTTTACTGAAGTAAACTAAGATATACTGAAGAAGAAAAAATTACTTACTCAGCGAAAAATAATCAAATACTGAGTTTTCTAGAATTGATTACTGTACAATTCGAATTATATACTACGCAGAGAATAATATTTCACTGAGTAAAACATATTGAATATGAGATGGAAAAAAACTGAGCGTTCTCAATAAAAAAACTACAAAAGTATGCGCCTTTTTTAAATTAAAATTTGATAGTCATAAGAAAGATAACGATACTATGAATACGTTAAGATTAGAATGAACTGTAGTTCTTTAATATTAGGTGATACAATGCATGTATTTCATTTATTTTTATTTAATCTTGTTCATGATGTTTCACAAATGATAATACCGATATTTATTAGATTTCTAATAAGAATTAAAAGTAACTAACAAAAAAAATAAGATAAATTAGAAGAATCAAACTAAAATGATTATTGTCTGTTCAAGAAAATTACTGTATTTGTTCTCTTTGTTATTTATTTTAATAAACTCGCTACATAATTGCACATGTTGAGGATTTGCTTTTCATTAATTGACCAAGAGAAATGGCTATCGCCATACATTTGAAATAACTGGATATATTCATGATTCACTAGTGTGTCAAGGTTATTAAATGATGTATTGGTGTAGTATGATAATAATTCGAAATCATCGTTCAATGTAAAGTTTTCATCCACCTTATTAGCTTTAAATAACACAATGTTTGTATTTCTATTGGTTATATTTAATTCAAATGGTTCACTGTCTATCATCGGTAAATAAGAATAGTTTATTGGATCGATAATATCCACTTTATCTATTTTGCCATCTTCAAAAGAAGCCTTGCTTACATTAAAGTATGAGTCGATCATAAAAATATTACCAACTTTCTCGCCAGCATTAACCAATTGGCGAGAAACTTCAAATGATAAAACGCCGCCAAAACTCCAGCCTAGAAAGTTATATGAACTATCATGTTGGATTTCTTTTATATACTTTATGTATACAGCAGCTAATGTCTCGAACGAGACGCCTTTTTCCATATTTTTTCCATGAAGATCAAGATAGTAATTATTGAATATTACCAGTTTACATTGTGATAAATGAGGCACAATGTTGCTGAAGTAGCTTTCGGCACCACCGTTACCAGGTGGCAAAATAAACAAAATATTATCGCAACTTTCATTGATCACAACAAACGGATGCTTAAAAAAATTCGAATGGGTAGCAATTTCATGTGAAGTTTGAATTTGTTCATCGAGAAAGATGCCCGCCTGAGCAAAAGAAGGAATATCTACAAGAGAAATCAGTGGATTTATATATTTGATGGATGTTTCTTAATTTAAAGATGTTTTACCTTGATTGATATGCGGTGATTGCCATCGTATCGTCTGCGCATCATTCGGTGGAAGTGTTTGAAGCAGTTGTGCATGTTGTCGAATAGTTGGTTGCTGATGAAAGAGACCAATCGAGAGTAAATGAGCATCGAAATTGAATAATGACTGGTAACGATAATAGAGTTCGATGAAGCGAAGTGAATGACCACCAACACTAAAAAAGCTGGTAGTTCTAGCAATACGATTTTCATTACAACGAAGAACTTGACACCAAATAGTGTGTATATGTTCTTCAAACCGATTAAGAGGAGTATCAGATTCATCGGAGGATAACAAAGTTGATAATGAAAAGTCGGGTGAAGGAAGTTGTTTTCGATCTATTTTACCATTTGGATTCAATGGTACTTTTTCAAGTATAATAAATATCGATGGAATCATATGTGATGGAAGGTGAGACTGGCAATGTTGGCGTAGTTCTTCTTCGTTGATATCAGAACTTTGAACATAAGCAACTAAATAATCATCATTCCATTTCATGACAACACAAGCAGATATAGATGAAATGCTAAGTAAACATCGTTCGATTTCACCAAGCTCAATTCGTTGTCCATGTAATTTGATTTGATGATCTTTTCTTCCTTGATAATAAAGAAGACCATTGTTATCCATTCTAACAAGATCACCTGTTCGATAGAAGAGTTCACCATCTACTTCAACAAGAGCTTTTGCAGTTAAATCATCACGCCCAAGGTAACCAGCAAAGACACCTGCTCCTCCCACAAATAATTCACCTTGTTGACTGGTGGCTGATGATTGTAAATATTGATTCATAAACATACATTGGTAATTAGAAAGTGGTGTACCAATTGAGACGCTTCGTGTATCTTCTATTAGATCTACTCTGTGGAAGGTAGAAGCTATAGTTGTTTCAGCTGGACCGTATAAATTCCACACAGTACAGTTGATTATGCCAGTTTTCACGATTAAGTCGATCAAATGAACAACAAAAGCTTCACCTAAAACAAAGGAAATGTAGTGCAACGAAAGGACGAAAGTCGTGTCTGGTCACTCACCGATACTACAAAGTGATCGAAGATATTTCACAGCATTTACTTTCTTGTTTTCCTCGATAAAAATGAAAAAACTATGTAGAAAACTTGGTACAGTATGTATATATGTGATTTGCTTGTTCTGTAACACTTCAGATAAATAATCAAAATCAATCGTTCCACCTGGATGAAGCATAATCAAGGTGCCTCCAACTAGCAATGTACCAAGTATCTCTTGAACATGAATGTCAAATGAACATCGTGTCATTTGTACAACTGTATCATCTTTATTAAATGAGTTAATGTAAGTCAAAGAATTTATACAATCAATAAAGTTCTTTTGCCGAACTTGAACCTATGAAAGAGCATGAAAACTAATCAGAAATTAGGAAATTAGGTATCAACGAACCGCTTTAGGTGTTCCAGTTGAGCCACTTGTGAAAATAATGTACGCTATATCTTCCCCTTTCACTATCGAGTTCGAAAGATCTTTCTTATCTGTATCATTAATGATTAATATTGAATCGATATTAGGTGAGACAATATTATGATTGAATTTGTTCTTTGTTAAATGATGCACAAGAACAAGACGACTTTCGGTTTGTTGTACAAGTGTATGCAAACGATGTCGTGGATCTCGAGGTGATAATGGACAATAAATACCACCTGCCATTTCAATTCCCATTATACCAATCACCTAATCAAAAATCAATCTCAAACTCATATTAATTGTTACTCATTTTAGTTAGCTTACCATCGACAAACTTCTCTCAACACACTGACACACGACTTCACCTGGAGCGATAAGATAATCATGAAGAAGAGATAAAGATAAGACTTGAACATAATGTAAGAGTTCACAGTATGTCAATGATTGTTCATCTAGTTCAACTGCTAGTTTTTGAGGATGCTTCATTACTTGATACACAAACTCATGATGAATACAAGTGACAGGAGATATAAATGATACTTGTGTATTATTCAATGATTGCATTAGATATTGTTCATTTGATAATATTAATGATAATTCATTGATAGGTTTATTTATTTGACTATCAATCATAGATGCAGATACTTGATGTAAAATGGAATGAAATCGTTGTGAAATCTTTTCCACTGTCTCTCTATTGAACGAGTCAAGTGATGCATTGATTGTGCATGACAGTTGATCCATCTTCATATTATGGTGAAACAAAAGAGAGAAGTTGGATGCACTTAGTATATCATCTTCATTAATATTGAATGAGAAAGATGTTGGAACAAGTTGAGAATCATCGATTATGATTCCATTGTTACCATTGTTACCATTGTTACTCTCACATGATATAAATTCCAAAGATATATCCAAAAATGCATGCTTTGATATATTTGGATGTTGATTGAGAATATGTTGAAGTGGAAAATATGAATATTTTATACTATTTGTTGTTATCATTTGGACATGTTCGAATAATTGATGAAAACACCAATGAGGATCTAATTGACATCGTAATGGAATGACATTCTCAAACAATCCAATGATTGATTTGAGTTCATCTCTATATCGATTATTATTGATGTTCATAGCAAGACATAGATCTGTTTGTCCATTAGTTAATTTAAATAGAAAGATGAAATAAATAGCAAGTTCAAGTTGTTCAAGTGATATGTTATTTGATGATGCATGTGTAAGAAAGTCATATGAGAGATCTTGACCAAAGTCAAATGAGATAGATGTTCCACGACCAGTTCGATGTTCATTTGAGAGACGATATCGATCAAATGGTAATGGTAAAGGTTGATCAAGTTTACAGTTATGAAGACCATCCAACCAAAATAGACTTGCACCCGTCATTGACATTTGTTGTTCAATAACAGCATCTATTATATAATCAAAGAAAAGAATGTATTAAGAAAAAGAGAAGTACAAGTACTGATTATATTTACAATCGAGATAACGTAGAAGAGTGTTGTCATCATATAGTAATTGACCTACTGTATATGCTTGATTGAGATCGTCCAGAAACACTTCCATCGATGGAAAATCAAACAAAGCATGATGAAAGTTGAAGATAAGTAGATCTTTGTCAGAAAGAAGATGATTTGAAGAGATTTGTTTGTAATAAATAATATGACATCGAAAGACAAGACCTTGAGCATGATCAAAAAGATGAGGATTACGTTTCTCGTCGTGTAAAATCTCATTCAATTGTTCATCTGTTTCATAAGTAGTTTTGATGATTGAAAACATGTTATTATTACTTTTATCTTCATGAGTGATAACTCGTTGCATAAGCATATTCTTTTCAATGTCAAAATGAAGTGATGTATGAAGTGAGTGATGTTTGTTAACAGTGAGATGAAGAGCGTGGCGAAGTTGTTTAATCGATAGAGTATGATCTGATTGAAGGCGATAAACAAAAGGCATATTATAGATTGCTACTTGTGGCTTCTCTGAATCAAATCGGATTCTTTCGTCAAGCCATATACGAGTTTGTGCAAATGATGCTGGTGCTAGAATAATGAGAGCGTAAGGAATTATAATGTAAAAGCTGGATGGTCAGATGATGTTTTTTTACAATATTCTAGCCACGTTTCATTTAATCGCCTCTCTAACTGACCAGAATCCGTATCAAGAGTGTTGGCTCACTATTTTCTGTTAGCAGTAATAAAAACTTATTGAATACTCCAGAATGACAAGTCTAAAATTGTATGATATCGGATCCTAGTTCAAAAATCGGAGAACATTACTAGCTTTGATAAAATCCGATGGAACGATTTTAATTTGAAACTTTTTTATGCGCATTGATAGTACCATGTAATAGTTTTATGTCATTGTTTATATAAAAAACACGATAGTTTGGCACCCTTATTAGACCGGCATTAACATAATACAAGTACCGATAACTCTCTCAAAATAAAGTAAAATCGTTCACTGTTAGGAATTCATCTTTTAGAAATAAAACAGTGTTATTTTTTATGAAAGCCGTGAGCATTTTCATTATCCTAAGGCACATTCAATGTGAATGCTGAATTATTGTTTTTTTCCTGTTATTAACATAAAAGAACCATGTAATTTTGTAAATCTCTAACAGATTGTATTAGTATTTTCCTAGTATGAATACTTAGCTGACAGTCTCAGTTAATAATATTGTTAGTTACATATAAATATTCCTTATTCACTGAGTGGATGAAAGTTATTTCTCTACCTCATTCAGATGCACTCAAGTATTCGATAAATTTATCTATGATGATATAATATCTTTATCTGTCTATTGATTTTTTACTTCTCTTTTTCTTCCTTCTATACTTCTTTTCATCACACATATCTCTTGAGTCACTAGACAGTATTACAATATACTTGAAATACATAGAAAAGGTTACCTGATGAAATCGCTGTAGTTACTATATAAAAATTTACTTTGAAATAAGTTTATACGATTCTATTCTTTTAACATATATTACTAGATTACTAAAACCTTTATTTACTAATCTGAAGCTAAAATCTCTGCAGCTGTATTAGAGAATAATCTGAATAAAATACTCATATGAAATAAAGTGTGTGACCAATAGGAATATGCATAATAAAAGCTTGAACTATAATACGTAGATGTGGCATCTTTTATGGTATCATACAATAATTTTATAGATATCTAAATAATTTCTAGGAGTTATATACTGTTAATGTCTGACAATTTTTATAACGGTACAAATTAAATGGCCAGTTTTTTATTCAAAATGATCAGTAAAAGGCGATCAGTAATTTCTGGTGTTTTATCAGTAAAAAAATTGAAACTGTCAGTAAAATAATTAATTGTCAGTGACTTTTGTATTTGATCAGCGATTTAATCATTTGATCAGTAAAATAATCAACTTATCAGTATTTAAACTAAAATATTAGTAGTTACTTATATTTGATCAGTGAATTATTGCATTTATATCAGTTTTCACCGTTCTGTAAATATACTATTTACTGATCATAATTGCTGACATTCGACATTATTTACTGCTTAGAAATGATATATTCACTGATCAAAAAATACTGATCACTTTATAAAAAAAACAACTGATAATTCGGTATAAAAAAACTGATCATTTAAATACGACCCTTTTTATAATCTACACATCTATACCTTATCAGTCAAAACAACAAAAATATCTTTGTACTAGCATTATATATAACGTCGGAAGAAAACAAAAGCAAACATAAATGTTTAATGGTAGAGAACTATGTTATGTAGGTGTCTTATGACTATACAACCCGACTATGACTAAGAAAAGCTTTTGCCCTGTGATTCTAAATCCGACTGCATGAATTTTTAATTTTTTAGTCCGATTTTAATTCCGACATCCAAAAACTTCGACAACTTATTACTGATAAATA